TCTTAATTCGATTAAATACATCGACAAAAGCACAAATTTAGAACATTGAGAATATCCTGGAACAGTTTTTAGACCGGATATTATTAGCTTCCTCGTCCATTCTTGTAATCAGTCTTCACCTTACAACTCAGGATTTCCTTCTTTTAATACTCTTTTTGTTATCTATCTAATCTCTGATTCCGTAACTTCCGGCTAACCATTTCTTTGTTCTTTGGTTACTTCGCTTTCTTGCAGCAACGAACAATATTAGAATCTGTAGTCTTTGGAACGTTGCCATTAGCAGATATTCAAATTAAAGTCCTTGATGCTTTTCGCAAAGGGTATTCAACTGGTCCGGCGTAACTGCATTCGTGAGCATGTATACCCTCCCTTTTTTTTCCGCGTATCATCAGACCGTTATCAAAATTCTGAAAGAACTATGCGCCCTCTTCACTAGTACATCTTAAATTTTCATTCAAAGTGCGCATCTCTGCAACCTGTCCACCTTTCTGGCAATACTGCACCGCAATCAGTCACAATATTGTACAACTGAGACTTGATTTCTACGACAAAGTTATATATTTTTAAGACACAAGTAGCAAAAAAGAATTTCAGGTTGAAAAAATGATAGAGATAATTAAAATACGGAATTTAAAAGATAATGGAAACTTAGGGGATTAAATTCTTTATTTCTAAAAGAATCTATAACAGCCCAATATCTACGTCAATTTCCAGTAAAATAAGAAAGCAAGCAGCATATTAAAATTTTGTTCAGGTATCCGTAAAAAATTTTGTTTTTCTTGTACCATTTTTTCAACTATCTTATTCCAAATTCTACAGAAGACTGCCATCGATTTAAGAAAAAAACTCTTTCTTCTTGGCTGGAGACTCCCAAGCAGAAAGTGCTCACAACGGTGATAGGCTTCTCTAACAATTAATCTATTGTTCAATCGCTTGACTGTTGGTCGGAATAGTTTTGCTGAAATTCCTATTGAAATTAAGAAGGTCATTGTTCCAATAAGATCGGTACAATTTCTCAAGTCACAGACTAACATTCAATTAAAAATCAAATCACGGGAGCAATTAAATACTTTTTTTTTTTTAAATAAGAAGCTGAGGGTCAAATAACTGTTAGCTAGAAAGAGAACGAAGTTATATTCTGAAAAAACGATATTTCTCCAAAGTAGTTACAGTAAACTTCAGTAGTCAAGCAGTCAGTTTTGATCACTTCCGCAGTAAAATAGTAACAGGTGCCACAGCAAATCAATAAATATGCTAAACCACTGTAAATTCAAAATAAAAAGTCATGAGACGTAGTCCATCGATGGGAAGAAACTGAGCCGTCATCAATCCGTTATGATCATTGCATCTAACCAAGATATTTCCAAAAAAAAAAAAAAAAAAAAAAAA